AAAACTGATGATGGAGAGACTGAAGAATTCTAGCTACGCTTTCTGTCTGAAATGGAGCAAACATACGATCAAGCTGCATTGATAATTATTGGGGATTGGAATGCACAAGTTGGTAACAGAGGAAGGAACAGCATTTGGAAAACATGGCCTCCGGGAGAGAAATGAAGTTGGAGACCGCATGAGAGAATGCTGCCAAACCAGCGACTTGTTCATGGCGACACAACACCACAAAAGGCGACAATACGTGTGGACTTGTGCCGCTATGGACCACTCAGAAATCAAGTGGACGCCGTCTGTTGGAGGGACACTGGAGACGCTCAACCTCAGCCAGGCCAGGGCGACGGGGGACAGACCAGGGTTGCTGTTGGTGCCCTCGAGCCGGCTCCGGCCATAGTTGCCCTCTGTGCCTCAGAACAGAACACTGCTGGCCCTGGGCCCCCTCACGTCTGTGCCCACGTCTGAGCCCGTTGGCGCAGCCGCTCGCTGAATCAAACCTTCTTCTCAAGGACCTTCCTCGTCTTACCACCATGCCCTTCTCCAAGGACTGGTCTCTCCTGACCACACGTCCAGAGTAGGTGACGAAGCCTTGTCATCCTTGCCTCTAAGGCGCTTCTGGCCGTGTTCCTTCCCAAACAGATGTCTGTTCTTTGGGCGGTCCTTGGAACTTGCAAGATTCTCACCAACACCCGAGTTCAAATGCACGACGCCTCCCGTGATCTTCCTTACTCAATGTCCAACTGTCCTGTGCATATGAGGGGCCTGCAAGCACACGGCCGGGGTCAGGTGCACGGCACTCCTCGAAGTAAGCAACGTCCTCGCTCTTCACCGCTTTCAGGAGGGCCTGTGTGGCAGACTTCCTCAGCGCAGTGTGTCCATGCGGCTTGCCTGCTACTCTGTGAAGCCAAGCCAGATAAAATGCTTGCCTTTCCGTCAATCTCTCTACGGGTCGTCGTGAGGATTTGGGGTTTCTTCGCATTGGGTGTCATCCACCCTGAAAGCGGCAATCCTTGATCTCCGGCCGCAAGGGCTTCGAGTCCTCCTCACGTCAGCGAGCACGGTTGCACCAGCTGCATATCGCAGGTCGTTAAAAAGCTTTCCTCCCATCCTGATGCCACACGCTTCTCCGCAGAATCCAGCTTCTCCGATGACTTGCTCAGCATACCGATCGAACAAGTATGGGGAGAGGAGACAACGCCGACACGCCCCTTTTTGGATTTTAACCAGACCACATCCCTTGTTCTGTTCACACGCTGCCTCTTGCTCCATGTTCAGGCTCCTCGTGCGCACAGTGAAGTGCTCTGGACAAGGGAGGAGGGCTTGGGGGGAAGAACGGATGCATTTGTGATGGTGCTGCCGAGACGATGGAGGGTCCCGTGCCCTGGCCGAAGAACGAACCCTTTGGTCTCGGGGCAAGTACAGCCTGCGTGCTCCTTAGAAGGAAGGATGGTGAGACTGTGCCTCGTGGGCTTTGGACATGTTGTCAAGAGAGACCAGTCCCTGGAGAAGGACATCATGCTCGGTGGAGTGCAGGGGCGGCCACCAAAGAAGACCCTCAAAGAGATGGGTGGACACGGTGGCCACACCCACGGGCTCAGGCACAGGAACCCTTGTGAGGATGGTGCAGGACCGGGCAGTGATTCCCTCTGTGGAGCACGGGGTGGAGTGTGGGAACTGACGACAGCATTGAACAACAACAACGACAGAACACAGAGCGCCACACTCTGCTGGTGGCGTGTGCAGGGAAACCCGGTGAGCCAGAGCACCGTTGTAATGCTGTCCTCATCACAGCGCCCACGGGCCAAGGTAGCTGTGACACGCAGGTGGAGCAACAATGAGGCCACCGCCTTGCAGCCAGCCTGACCCTTCGGCCTGAGTCCAAGAGCTCCTTTGGGTTTCCAAGAGTGTAAATCTTGACCAGAACCGTGGCCTGGCTCCGCGCAGGTGAGCTCGAACTACACAGTGAAACCAGCTGGTTAGCAGCCCACGGTGCCACCAGCACGCCTTTGACCACGGTTATGTTTTGCAGTTAGGCGCCATCAAGTCAATTCTGAGCCACAGCGACTTTACGCCCAACAGAAGGACACACCGCCTGGTCTCACCCAGTCCTACAATCGTTCCGAGCCCATGGCTGCAGCCAGGGTGTCCATCCACCGGGTCAAGGGCCTTCCTCTTTTCCCTGCCCTTCCACTTTACCGAGCAGGATGCCCTTCTCCAGGACTGGTCTCCCCTGACCACACGTCCAAAGTCTCACCATCCTGCCCTCTCGGGAGCACTCTGGCAATACTTCTTCCAAGACAGACGTGTTTGTCTTTGGGACGCCGCGGTCACTTTCAGTGTTCTTCTCCAGCACCACAATCAAATGCATCGATCCGTTTTTGGAATGGCTATTCATGTGCATATAAGGTGATTGGAAATGCCATGGTTTGGGTCAGGCACCTCTTAGGCCTCAAAGTGACGTCAATCCTCTAAAGAGCTCTTGCGCTGCAGATTTACCTCACGCAATGCACTCTTCGATCTCTTGACGGCTGCGTTCATAGCATTGATTATGAATCCAAGCAAGACAAGTCCTTGACAATGCCAATCTTTTCTCCATTTATCATTGTCAAAGGAAACCAGCCTCTAACAACCGGAGGGTCTGTAAGTGCAATTGCGCGGCAATAATATATCAAGGTCATAGTAAAATCATAGCAGATAGGACAGAGAGTAAAATAAAGGAGTCAGACACATTTCATGGTAGCGTGCTCACCTCAGCCCCTCTTGGGGATCCACGTGGAGGTGGGAGAAGAGAGAGGGAGTCTTTACTATCTTGGGATATTCATAGGTAGCCACAAGACATGCACATTCAGTAGTTACATACGTCACAAGGGGGTGGTAACTACAGTCAGGTCCGCGAGCTCACAGGTGAGGACACCTAATGCCTGCACTGGGGGAAGGTATGCGCGGGGCTGGGTGACATGGCGGCAGGAGATAACAAAAGAATGTCCGCTTCTTTGGGAGATATAATCAACCATGTGCTCACTTTAAGGCAGCATAGCTGTTGGGGGAGAATCTATGGGAACTGCTATTTAAAGCAAACTGCTATTTAAAGACTTTATCTCTAACTTACCAAAATAGTGGCTTTCCTACTGTGGAATACTAGCTTTCCAGATTGCCTGTGTTATAAATTAGGGAATATAGTCCTGGTCATATTTCCCTCCGTGTTAATTTCCCACATATCATGATGTGACCTATTGGCCCAGAGGTGAGGATTTTGGTCTTCCTTACATTGAGTTGTCATCCATACTGAAGGCTGCAATCCTGGATCTTCATCAGCAAGGGTTTCAAGTCCTCCTCGCTTTCAGACAGCACTGTGCTTCACCATGGGTTTTGCAATGTCCTTTTTGACAACGAATGTCAGCCAGTTCTCAATTGTGTTATTCCTGGGATAGTAAATCATATGACTTTCTGACTCAAAATGTCCAATACCAGTCCATTTCGACTCACTAAGCCTAAGCTATCGTTCTGTATGGCTCCATTTCATTCTTGACCCTGCCAGCTTTCCTAGACTCAAGTCTCACAGTCCACGTCCTGATCCCTAGCAGATATGTGCACCTTTTCTCCTGACCTGGAGCCGTGCCCCATCAGCAAATGAAGATCGGGAAGGCTCCACGCCCACGGGCCTTGCCGACTCACGTCCTCACGACTGCCGACTCAGCTCCTTCCCAGTCACGCTTCCAGGGCCCTCCGCCCCGAGGGGCCGTCCCCGGCACTATGTCCAACCAGTTCTGCTTCCATTCATTAGGCCTTCAATACCTGACCATGTCGCAAAGCTTTGCATAAGGATTTCAGTGGCTCCGACGTCTAATCCTTCTTCATCTCTGATCTTAGTTTGGAAGCTCCGATGAAACCTGTTCACTTTGGGGAACTGTCTGAAAGGGTCGCGGCATTAGAAAGTTGAGAACCACTGGTCACAGGAATAGAAAGCCTGCTCTTTCTCCCGTGGAGTGTCTCCTGGGTTTGAACTGCTGCCCTTGTGGTTAGCAGCCCCAATGCAGAACTCACTAGGGCTCCTTAACTAACCACACGGAGAATTTTATAACAAATAATACATTTCTGATGAAACACTGCTTGCTGCAGACTGCACCCCAGCACCCGCTTTGTTGACCCCAGGCGGTGAAGGGGTCTGTCTGTCTGTCTGGGCATCCCGCACACCTTCCCGCAGGACCCACCTGGATGCCTAGCCCGGGGCGACGCGGGATCCGCAGAATGTCAGTTTTAATCCTTGGCCTCTCTTTGGATCCTGGTCTACCTGAGGTTCTCCTTAACCCAAACTCCAAGATGGGCAAGCGCAGGAGATCCACCACCAGACCCCAGCGGAAGGAACCGGACAAGGTGGCTGAGGGCTGGGGAGCGGGTGTGCACCAGGCGAGACTGGGGCGGAGCTTATTCCAGGAGGCTGTGACCTGAGGCAGCGCAGGGCAGGCAGGACGAGGTTTACTTGGGGTCAGCACTTACTGAACAGGACTGGTGCGAAGGGGCAGGACTTTCTGGCCGGATGAGGCGTGGCTTTGCGGGGGGG